CGATGACAAATCGAACAAATATAGTGTGAAAATTTAAGATAGAGAAGTGCAAGTCATTACTGATTGACTGGAGGTGTCAACAAATAACTTCTGGTTGTTCTTTGAGCGCAACATGTCTTCAAGTTGTCACTTTAAGCAAGTTGCCGAAGGCTATATCAAAGTATAGTCAGTTACTCTCTATCTTTTTAATACGTAGACTCAAAATTAACTTTTACCAGAAAGTACATCTAGTTGCACTCCCTCCCTCACGTGGTTCACGTCGAGATCCGAATAGACCCGAATATATGGAATCTGAGAAGTCACAATGAAGGAACGAGCAAAACGATTGGAGATCATAGGGTCACGGAAAAACTTACTGTTGTCACGAAATTTTTTAAAGGATAATCAGCCGAACTAAATCCTTTCGTGTAAGGGCCATCATAGGTAATGTGTTGTGTGAATGCGTGAAACCCTCATCTTCTATGAAAAGAGTACCTCCTTGATTTCAAGAATGATATCATATCATCTTAAAAACTTCACGAGAATTCACAACCTTTATCTCTTGACAGTTTCTTGCATTGTACATACTTGCTAAAAATGGCTCTGTTCCACGTTTTAGATGACGGTATCCTTGTGTACAAACTCAAGGGAGCTAGATGCTGTAAAACAGCTTCTATAAACATAGAGATTAAGGATAAGGGCCGCCTGCAGCGGTGAGGTTCCACAAAACCCAGACAGCTGAAAAACGGACTGCGTTTTCAAAACAACAGCTTTCTAATGTGTGGTTCACTTCAAACACTTGCGTTCCATGCAAATCGTAAAATTTGCGGTTGGAAAAAAAAGATAAAGGTCGCTTTTGAACGCATAAGTGCTCTGAATTATTAGACAGTACCTATGTGACATTTAAACTAATACGTGCAGACTTTCTGAACAAGTATTTGAGAAAACGGGTTATTACTGAATTCTGCACGCAGAATTTCCTGAAAAAAAAAGACGTTTGTGAAAAACGCTCCATCATCTCCTACACAGCACAACGTTTCGCATTCTCCCAAGTCGACTGAATTTTTTATGAGTGAACAAAGTGTGTGATCGCACACAAACACTTTAATCACACGCCGGATCTAAGGAAAGTGCTCAGTTTGGCATGTTGAGAATTTCTCTGAATTTCATTTTATATCATACTTTGTTTCTCATTTTGACAAATGATAAGCCTGGGAACTTTGTTTCCCAGTAGGTGGTTAGAAGTAATTTATCTGCTGGAGTTTTATTGTTTCAAACAGCCAGCGATTGCGAAATTTTCTCCTTTCGGTTTCTAGCGCTGTTGTGGTTCATTTTTTAAGACTTCAAGCAGAGCAATGAATTGGCGATTTGTCGCAAAGTAGTGGTACTTTCCACTGGTACTATTGATCATTATGACATCCAATTTTCTCCAGTCACTGCTACAGGTAGAGATGTCGACTGTGGGCGATGAACGCAGCGACAAGCGGTTGGAGTTGGAACGGAAGAAGCAGAAGTTGGCCGAGATGAGAGAGGCTCGAAGGCGAGCAGATGAGGAGAAAAAACGTCAGCTTCTTGCATCCGTACCAACCGAAAATGGTAAGCACTGTAAGCAGTTTGGAATGACTACATACGGAAGAGCTTTAACCATTACTTCTGACTTTCCTTTTAGGAACCGCAAGACAAACTCTAACTTCAACTGAGGTACAAGAATTACTTGCCGAAGTCGGAATTCCTGTTGAACCAAGGCTAGAAAAAACACCAGAAAAAACAAATGGATTAAACGATAGTGTGAGATGGCTGCTAGTTTTTCTTCGATTATGCTCTTTGAAAAAATCTTACTCCATTTGAGGAAATTTTGTAGAAGGTAATTCTTTAGGACTACCACCTTTCTCCAATGGCTTCACAGATCATGTCTGGTTCTCGAACTCTTCAGCTCGATTTCTCCAACGTCCTTTCTGTGGCTATTCCCACTAAGGACGCGGTATGTCAAACCCTGTCAGCTTGTTAGAGTCCAATAATTATGGCTTTTTTGGCATTGCAGACGAGAGTTTGAGTTTTCATGAGAGAATGGGATGGAAAGAAAATACTCTATTGAACGTTTTATAGGCGCAGTACTCAAAAACGACGCAAACAGATGATGATCGTGTTTCTATGGGGGAATTCAGCACAGGTAGTCAAGAATTCGACTATGATGACGACATGCTGCCTATGGACGGCGGCGGATTCAGAGGTATGCTTTTCCAAATTAGGTGTAACTCGGTTTATTTGTTATCACTTGCAAGCTGCTGATAAGCGATTGAATCTTTGCTGTAAAAATTAACTCCCACTTTTCTTGTTGGACTAAACCTGCCATCCTTGCTGAAATGCTAAAACTACCAAAACAATGTCTTAGAAGATTAGCAAATTCTTGTATAAAGCATACGTTCTTTCTAGATAGAGTGCACTCCCACGATGTGGATTCGCCCATGACTGATGATTTGGCTGGGATTTTACCCAATATTCCAGGGTTCAACTTCGCTAAACAAAA